GCCTCCTACATCCCCCAAAAAAGTCCTCCAAATGCAGAACCAAAAGCCACCACTACACAATGTAGTATTTTGCCCAATATCCATATTTTTACATGGAGAAGTTACACAGCTCCAATGCATTTCCAAAGGCATTCACAACCCTTGGATGGCTTAAAAACTATAGCACCTTTAAAACTATAGTGTGATCTATAGCACCTTTGCCTTATGATCATCCAGGAATAATGACAGGAGTTGATCATCTACCTATTTAGATTACTCTAATTTTTTTTTTTTTTTAAGAGAGAGATTTTTGCTATAGGGCGTGTGCACTCACTGAAGAGACGGCAAGGACAGTAAATGAGAAATCACCACCCGGGGGTGGGGATGATGACCATGTCGTCATCCCATCTCCATTCTCCTCTCAGGATCTTGGGCACACATTCACACAGGCCTGGTGCAAGTTTTAAACTGTCAAGTCCAAGATTCAAACTGTGATCGCCTACCTGGGAGTCCAGCGACATAACCATTACACCATCTGCTGGTCCCTAGACAGTTCTAATTACAACAGCTTTAACTTGACCTAGTTACATTGACCTAAAGTCTCCCAGTCAGTGGTCTTAGTTTGATCCTTCATTGTGGGTGAAGATCTGTGTCTGCGAGGGTTGATGAAATGAGAGTCCAATCAAGATGAGTCTCCACTGCACAGGGACCAGATATTTCCCTGTGCAGCATTAACATATTCCTCTACCAGGAGCACGTAAAGAGAGAGTTTTCTATTTATTTTTATCCTCCCTGTAAAATGAAGTTCAAGGAGACCATTTGGCTTGCTCGCAGAGCTCTAGATACATGCAACACAGCATTAGAGTGGTGAGCCACAAGCACACCAGTTCCATTGCACGTTTTTGCTCCACTGAGCATATTTGGGATGCATTTTTTTACTCTGGGTTCATAAGTTTTCTCCCTAATGAGTAGAGGCTATTTAACATTACTGATGTAGAGTTTTCTCCAACTTATTTTTTAAATGTCACATATTAGAATCTCCTTTCCACGCACATCTTTCCGAAGTGGTGCCAATAATGTGGGGTCAATAAATTATTCAAAATGGGGAAGCCATATAACAAACAGAAAAGCCAGCAGTTTATTAACGATAGCTACGCACAAATGCACATTTGCCGGCTATGTCGACAACAAATCAGAAATGATATATGACCTTTCTCACATGCCTGCAACATTTAATATCTTTGAAAAACATTAAAGATGTCAAATATTGAGACCACAATCTGAGAGGCAGTGAAAATATAGTATCACTGTGTACACACAGGCTTAAAGCTTGGTTACAATTACCTATGCCTGTCTTTTCCTAAAGGGTAAACATTTTTCACATAGTTGTTTGCTAGCGTACTTTGCTTTGCAAAATAGTTTTGATCCTGAGGTGGTGTTTGTTAATCCAATCCTACTTTACCATAAACTAGAATTATCATTTCAGAGGCAGTTATACTTCATTTATGTTCAATTTCCGATTCATGTAGACTCTCATCATTTACATTTGTTTGTCGCCTTCCCCCTGCCCCATGTTTAATATTGAATGATTTATAAGCAGCTACTTTAAAGCATTGAAGACACTGTTTCTTTTTAAGCAGGTAGTAGTGAATATTTTGGGAAGTAAGCTATCACTTTTCTACTGCTTTTGCTTTATAAATTGGATTTTGGCTTAGCTTAATCTTTTATTGATTTCATTATAAAAATTTAAATATATAAAATAATAGAAGAGTATAATGAGCCCCATGTACTCATTCCTTGACCTCAACAATTACCGACTCACGACCAAACATATTTTAAGTATGCATCCATATTTCTTTATTTTATTCTGAAGCAAATATTAGATATCAAATTATATCATTTAACCCATAAGTATTTGAGGAATTCTAAATCATGACATTAAAAAATATATAACTGTATGGTCCAGCTTGATGGTGCAGTTCACAGCAATCTGAATTGTAGCACTTAGTGCTGGAAGTCACATGGCCAACTAATGGGTTCAGATCTTCTGGATGAATTGAGAACATGCCCATTGTGTGTGTAAGTTCTCAAGATCCTGTGGAGGCCAAAGCAGGGTGATCTCAGTATAATGAGACCCTGTGGAGAGTGAGTGTGTGTTTCTCTCTTATTGTCTCTGTCTCTCATGTTCATGCACACACTCTGTATCATGAATAAACTATATTTAAATAAATATGTGTGTGTGTGTAAACTGTATTATAATAATTACACATTTACACATAAGAACAATTAGGACTTTAATATTACAGTTAAGACTTTAATATGACATTGATCATCATGTCCATTTTTCAGTAGTTTATTTGAATCAGGATTTATACAGCATCTTTTTGTTGTAATTGCTTGATGTTCTTCTTGAAAATGTTTTATTAGTTCTTCCTCTGTCTCTTTTATTTTTTGTGTTGCATTTTACTGGAGGAAAGGCTAGATTATTTGTCCTGAGGAGTTTCCTAAAATCTGTGTTTGTGTTTTGGTGTTAGAATCCCTATAGGATAGCTTAATGTGTATTTCTTATAAATTGGTAGTTAGGTATAGAGGCTTAATTAGACTTGGGTTTGATTTTTTGGCAGGACTAGTTCATAGATGATGGTACATACTTCCATCAGGAAGATACATATCTGGTTATTTCTCTGTGATGTTAAGACCCATTGGTATTATTGCCTAGATTCTTTTTTTCTTTTTAAAGAGAGATTTTTGCTATAGGGTATGTGAGCTTGTCAGAGAGACAGAAAGAGACAGAAATCAAGAAATCAACCCCTGGGGGGGATGGCCATACCACAATCTTTTCTCTTTCATTCTTCTGTCTGGATCTTGAGCACACATTCACATGTGCCTGGCATGAGTTTTAAGCCACCGGGTCCAGGACTCAAACCCCAATCAACTATGTGGGAGTCCAGTGACGTAACCATTATGCTATCTGATGGTTCCTTAGATTCATTTTTTTTTAAAAGAATTATTAATGTAATTTATTTATTTTTATTTTGACCAGGAAGATACAAAGAGAGAGAGAGGGAAGGAAAGTAAGAAAGCAAGTTTCTAGGTCTGGGACTCAAACTGCCATCAACCATATAGGAATCCAGCACCTTAACCACCGCACCACTTGCTGACTCTGATTCATCATTTTTTAAAAGTGTGTAGAAATGGTGCTAGGGCTTGATTTATATGACAAAGCTAGGTAAAAGTGTGAATTCCCTTTGCTTACTTGCCTGTTTTCAATAGAATGACTTATTATCCATGAGCAACCTCAGAGGTTCTTAGTATCCTTTTGAACTCATGGGTTTAAACATATTTTATGTGTTTGAATCCATTGCAGTTATTATTCTTAATGATGATCTAATTGGAATGACAGGTTGCAAACAGGAACTTCTTTAAGTTGGCTCTTTAGTTTTGACATGAGCCCACCGGTTTTTGATGATTTTTTTTTTGCTTTCTGGTTTGATAAAGTATTCCAGGTTAATCTTGTGCCTGGAATCAGCAATTTTTCAAGGATCTCTAGAGACCACAACCCAAACATAGGGGTGCTTCCTGATTAGTGAATTTGTTTTTAGGCATTTTGAGTGAGCAGAATTATGAAATACTTTTTAAAAAGATAAAATGCATCATAAATTAATTCTAATTCTTCCAATTCTAATTCCAAGATACCAGGTTTTACTTAAACTTACCAGTCTTAAAACATAGTCTCTTAATTATACCCCCAAATCTCAAATTTCAAAGACAGAAATATCAATACTCATTTGTTCAATCATAAAACTCATACGCTATTCAAAGAATAACGTGAACACTAAGTGCTTATTCTCAGGAGATACAAAGATAAATAATAGATAACTCCTCCCTTAAAGATGTTTAAAATATTGAGAAAGAAATTGATTCGACAAATACATAATGACCTCCACTCTATTTGGGCTACTTTTAAAAAAATCCTTTTATAAGGAGAGATTTTTGCTATAGGACATGTGTTCTCATCAGAAAGACAGAGACTGAAAGTAGGAAATCACCCTCGAGGGAGAATGGCTACACTGCAGTCTTTTCTCCTCCATTCTCCTCTTGGGATTTTGGGCATGCATGCACACATGCCTGACGTGAATTTTAAGCTACCAGGCCCAGGATTTGAACTGCTATCGAGTGGGAGTCCTGCCGTGTTACTATTAGGCCGTCTTCTGGTCCCATGGGCTACATTTTATATGCTTGGATTCTGAAGGAGTGGAACAGAGATGTTTCTTTCTGTTGTGGAGCTTATTTTGACCACAGTTTGCAATGGAGCAAACATGGAAGGAGCAGGCTGTGGGAGGTGATAAAAATGAATTGATTCAAGGTCCTATAATTAAATAAATGCATTAAATTAAACCCCATTCTAGGATTGAGGAACAGACCACAGCACCTACTTCTTGAGTCCCCTAGATGTCATCCCCTCGTGGCAATGGGGTAACTGCCCCTTATCTCAGGTAGAGAGGCAGATAGGTAGAAGCTAATATCAGACCTTCACCATGATCCTAGGTGCACAGTAGCTGAAAATGTTCTTTGTTTTACAGGTCAACTAAAATTTTTACCATACACGTGCATATTTCAATAAAAACAAGTGATTCTCTTATTTCTATTAATCTTCTAGTTGTATTGAGTATAAATTACATACAATAAACCACATATTTGAAGGATAAGATTTAATAAGTTTTGACAAATTTAATCCCTTCTTCCTGCCCCCTGCCTGGTTCACTCATTCCAAGGCAACCACTGATCTGCATTCTGTCACTAGAGATTAGTTTGCGTGGTCTAGAATTCCATATAAATAAAATCTCTCTCTCTCTCTTTTTTTTTTCCTTTGGGGAAGGTTCTGGCTACACCGGTACAATTATTTTCTCCATGTTGTGTGTAACAATGGTCCATTCCTTGTTATTGCTGATCTCATGATATGGATGTAACACAACTTGATTATCCATCTATGTGTTAATGGCCATTTTGACTGCTTCTAGGTTTGGTGTTCCCTAAATAAAGATGAAACGCATCGCCAGTGTGCAAGTCTCTGCCTGGAGGTATGTTTTCATTCCTCTCGAGTAATTATCGAGGAATGGAATGGGTGGGTGGGTCATGGGATAAGTATATGTTCTTCAAGGAACTGTTGAACTGCTTCTGAAGGGGTCGTGCCAGTTTACATTCCCAACAGTCGTGTATGAGAGGTGGCTGTATGTGTTCTAGTGTTTGGTGTCGAAGCCTTTTTCTTTTTTAGCCATTCTAATGCATAGATAACGACATCATATTGCACACTTGTAATGTGCACTTCCCTAATGATTGACGATGTTGAGCATCTTTTCACATACTTGTGTGCCTTCTGTATATCATCTTTTGTGAAGTGTCTATTGATATCTTTTCTTCATATTTTATTGGGCTATTTATTTATTTTAGAGGCTTTTGTCATAGAGCACGTGCACACTCCAGAGAGAGAGAGGTAAGAGAGTCAGAGACAATGAGAGGAAAAGTGAGAAATCACCCCCTGGAGGGGATGGCCATGCTACAATTCCTTCTCCTTATTATCTTCCTGGGATCTTGGGCACACATGCCCATGTTCCTGACATGCTTTTCATGCCACCAGATCTGGAATTTGAGCCGCAGTCAGCCATGTGGGAGTCCAATCATGTAACCACTACACCATTTGTTTGTCTCAGGTTTTTCATTTCATAAAAATTATTTATATTCCAGAATATAAGTCTTTCATCAAATGCAATTTTCAAATAAGTTCTCTCATTCTGTGGCTTGTCGTTCAATTTTTTTAATAGCGTTTTTTATGGGACAAGTAGTTAGCGTAATGGCTATGTCACTGGACTCCCACGTAGTCGACTGCGGTTTGTGTCCCGTACCCGGTGGCTTAAACCTCACGCCGTGCGCGTGTGTGTGCGTGCCCAAGATTCCGAGAGGAGAACGGAAGAGAAGGGACTGCGGCGTGACCATCCCCCCGGGGGATGATTTCTTGCTTTCTGTCTCTCTGTCTTTCTCTGTCTTTCTGGCAAGCACAAGTGCCCTATAGCAACAACCTCTCAAAAACAAACAAGCAAATAGAAAAAAAAAAGTGTTTTTTAAAGAGGGGATGCTTTTTAGTTTTGGTAAAATCCAATTTCTTAAATTTATTTTTATTATTTCTTCAAATTTGTCAGCATGTGCATTATGCTTGCCAGAGAGAGATACGGAGAGAGATAAAAACTATCTTTCATGGGGGATGGTCTTGTTGCAATCCTTTGCTTCCATTTTCCCTTCCTTTTGGGATCTTGGGCATGTAAGCACATGTGTCCAGCATGTTCTTCAAGCCATTGGGTCTGGGACTTGAACCATACAGTCAGCCATATGGAATCCAGTCATTCTAATCACCATACCACAAGCTGGATCAAAGTCCAATGTATTATTTTCTTCAGAGTTTGTGCATTTTACAGTCAATTTAAGAAATCTTTGCCAAACTTAAGGCCATAAAGGTTTTATTCTATATTTTCCTTTTATGGATTTTACACATTTAGATTTCATCTTTACTATTATAGATTTAGGAATTTACAAATTTAGTTTTAAAGCTTTCAATTTTCATTTAGGTTTATGATCATTTTTAGTTTACTTTTATATGCACAGTGCTTCAGTTTAATTGTTTCTTTATTCCAGTACTATTGTTCAAAATATCATCTGTGGGACCAGCAATTAGCATAATGCCTATGTCACTGGACTCCCATGTAGTGGACCATGGTTCGAGTCCTGGACCTGGTGGCTTAAACTCACGCCGGGCACGTGTGCGTGCATGCCCAAGATCCCGAGAGGAGAATGGAGGAGTAGGGATTGCGGTGTGGCCATTCCCCCTGGGGGGTGATTTCTTGCTTTCTGTCTGTCTCTCTCTTGTCTTTCTAGTGAGGGCACATGCCCTTTAGCAAAAACCTCTCCAAAAAAAAAAAGAAAGAAAAAAATATTAACATCTGTCTGCTGAATAACCTTTGTAAAACCTTTTCAAAAGTCAACGTTTTTTTATATATGAGTGTGTGTTTTTACTGGATTCTTTATTCTGTTTCATCAAAATATTTGTCTAGTAGCAAAAAGTCTTGATTATAGTGGCTTCATAATAAGTTTTAAAATTAGGTATCATTAGTTCTCCAACTATGTCCTTCAAAGTTGATTTGGCTGTTATAGTTCCTTTGTACTTCCATATGATTTTATAATCAGTTTTCCAATTTCTGAAAAGAAAGAGAAAACTGCTGTAATTTTGAAAACAGATTGCCTTGAAGCTAGAGATAATTTGGGGAAAACTGAAATTTTAGAAATAGCAAGTCTTCAAATTAGTAAACAAATTGTGCATCTTAATTTTTTAGTGCTTTGTACTTTTTTCTCTCCATAGCTTATTTATTTATTATACACTCAAACACTGTATATCATAACAGCTTGTAAAGTGAATTTTCACAGCATGAATACGCTGTATATTAGTCCAGTTAAAGGTATTATCATACATGTTATCATCAACAGATACTTTTCCATTTTTGTGTCCCTTAAATATTTTGCTTCTTTCTTTTTTTTCTTGTCCTTTTGAGAAGTTTTTTGCTATAGGGCGTGTGTGCTCACCAGACAGACAGAGATAGACAGAGAGACAGAAAGCGAGAAATCACGCCCCAAGGGGGATGGCCACGCTGCAATCCCTTCTCCTCTGTTCTCCTCTCAGGATCTTGGGCACGCATGCACACGTGCCTGGCGTGAGTTTTAAGCCACCGGGCCCAGGACGCGGACCTCGGTCTACATGGGAGTCCAGCGACATAGCCATTACGCTAACTGCTGGTCCTTATTTTGCTTCTTTCTTTTACACCTGATTCCCTTCCTCTTCATTTTACAGGTTTTGAACATATTTTATAAGAATTTCTCCAAGTGTTTTATAATTCTCGTTACTATTCTAAAGGAATTTTCAGATATTTGTTTCCATGTGTATTGCTTCTCCATAGAAATAAAATTATCAGATGTTTATATTGTGTCTTCTAATTTTACTAAATATGCTAGTTTTAGTAACATAAGATATCCCATAGGATTTTGATATAGATGATCATTTTGTCTGCAAAACCACTTTTTTCTAACCCGTTTTTTTCTTTTTCCATTTATTTATTTATTTTTACATTTTTCCACAAACATTTATTTTACATATCAAAAAATTTTTGCCCATGGGAACCAGCAGTTAGCATAATGGCTATATCGCTGGACTCCCACGTAGTCGACCACGGTTCGCGACTGAATTTTAAAGGTAGTGTTCAAAATATTTCTTATAATTTTGTATACTTTTGTTCATGACTCTATAACAACGGAGACAGTATGGTTTTAAATATTTTTGAGAAAATATTTACATGTCAACTACTCAAATTGTTTAAAAGCAAATGCCCAGCACACTAGTCACACATAAACCTCAATTCAGCCTGCCTACCAAGTATTCTGTGATAGACCATCTGCTAGCAAAGATTGGTCTCTTTTTCTTCCTTCAAAGTCTTTCTTAAGATAATCCTCTGATGTGGTTGCTCTTTTGCAATCTCTACTGATTTCAATGCTGGGATGGAAAAGTCCAGGTTATTTTATGTTATAAACTCTTTCATATATCTTCTCTAATCCTGTTTCCCGGGCAGAACTGTTTATGGTGCCAGACCATCTAAGAACTTCTGTTGGCTTACTTGAGATTCACCTTTGTTCCATAGTTTTCTGATTAATGATCAGATATGACATTCCAGTCAAAGCCCTGTCCAATAATGAGTATTTCCAATTTCTGATTCAATGCGACAAGCATTATTGAACTTACGCAAATAACCCTGCTGCCACAAAATAAGAATACTCCCAAATATTTTTCAATTCCAGAGAGATCAGGAAGGAAAAAAAGTTTATGTTTCCATTTAAAGAAACAAACAAGAAAAATATTTTAACAAAGTGCTGAACCTAGCAACACCTCAAAAGATAGTAAAATGCTTAAATAGGGAAAACAAAGCATAGGAAAAAAATCAGTAATGTTTTACTCAAAAGTCATAAAATTCTATTTTTCCAATTCAGTCTTACATTCAAACTCTCTTCTGTTGAATACGCAGTTTTGCTATGGTCCCATCTTTCTGTTTCATCTTGGAAGTTAATATTCAATGTTACTATTGATATTTCTTGTCTGTAGCATTAAAATGATCATTTTCTTGGTTACCTTTTGTTCTCTTATTTCTGTGTGTCTTTAGTTTTCCTGGTAGAGCACTCCTTTCAGAACTTCTTGACGAGCTGGTCTGGTGTTGGTAAATTCTTTCAGGTCTTATTTATCTGAGGATATTTTTATCCTTTCTTTCCATATGAAAGATAATCTTGCCAGGTATAGTATTCTTGGTTAAAACTGTTTTTCACTTAACACTTTGAATATATTTTCCCATTCTTTCCTTGCTTGCATTGATTCTGATAAGAGGTCTGAGGTTAGCCTGTTTCCCTCTCGTCAATTTTAGTATCTTGTCTTTGTCTGTAGATTTGGCCATTCTGGCTATGAGGTGCCTTGGAGAAGATCATCTTGGGTTGTTTCTATTAGGGGTCATTTGTATTTCTAGAGTCTGGATATTTGAATGCCTCTCTAGATTTGGAAAGTTTTCTTCTAACCCTTTTAAATGTGGACTCTCTCACTATCTCTCTCTCTCTCTCGCTCTCTTTTTTCTTGTCCTTTTGCACTGGATAGAATTTCCAGTAAAAAGTTGTATAAAACTGGTGAGCACTGTGGTGAACTATTTTAGTATTTTTGGTGTGTATGTCTGAAATTTTATTTTATCATTATTTGGAAGGATGTTTTTTCTGGCTATCCAATTCTTGACTTACAGTTTAATTTATTTAGTAACAAAGTGTTTGTTGCACTCAGTTTTGGTCTATTCCTACTGCTATAACAAAAATACCCTACACTGAGTAATTTATAAATAACAGACTTTTTTCTTACAGTTCTGGAGTCTGGAAAGCACAAGATCAAGATACCAGCTTGTACCGTGTCTAGTAATACTTATATTCTGTTTCCAAGGTGATACCTTTTCATTGTATT